GTGTATGATGAGTGGTGTATGATGAGTGGTGTATGATGAGTGGTGTATGATGAGTGGTGTATGATGAGTGGTGTATGATGAGTGGTGTATGATGAGTGGTGGTTGAACAGCTGTTGAATGTCCGTAACACGGAAGTTTTGCACACTAAACTTCCTTTGATCAAGCCGTTGGGACCGTTGGGACCGTTGGGATTGGCCCACCTTCTGTGCGGACCGCAGACCAGGCCAGTGGCAGCTCGGATCGTTAGCCGCAGGGCTGGTCGATGAGCAACATTTCGATGAGTTGGCAAGCCTCTATGTGCTCAATGCACTAAATGAATCTTGGATTGAATTTGTACTCAGCCAGAATGCGACAATTGACCTCAAAGAATGAACCATATTGAAGGCGCCATTGCTTGCAGTATCTTTGATGGTGGATGGTGGTCGGATGTCTTTTCTCAAGAAGACTGCAGGTCTTGATAGACAGGACTTTTGACTAAGCACATAGTCCTCGTAAAAAGGTGGTTGACCCAAGGCCTAAATAGAGCACTAAATAGAGCATCCTTTTTCACCTTATGTATCTTGTCCCATGAAGCCCAACGGGCCAGCGTTGCGGATAATGCTCCAAGCGGATCCGGTGTCAAGTTGGACAGGAAAAGGCAAGGTTGTGATCTCCTTCTTCAGCCGTTTTTGGACATTGGATGAACACTTTCATTATACGTATGACTTGCTGCGAAGGGAAAAACAAAAGCTCTCTCTCTGCTCCGGCTTGACCAGATATAGCGTCATCGCTGGACAGCCCCAAATTCACAGCATTTGAAGACAATAAAAGAGGGGTCCGGCTCTTGAAAAAAGAGCAAGGTGATCCTACACTACAGGCAGGCCCCAAAAAACCATGCAACCTCATCAACCTCTGAGAGTTGTATACTTTAACAAATGAGCTCCATATATGTTGCACTCAGCTGAGTCGACCAAATCGGTAACCTTGCCCTCACGAGTTGAAGCTGACACCGTGATGCAAGGCAATCAGTGCCAAGTATGGAGCTATTCGCCTGGCACCGTCGAAGCTGAAGAGTTCTCACCATAACAGGATTCTGTGGACAGACTTGGCAGATTTGGTACATGGTAAACTTCATATGAACTATATATGAACATCAACAAGATGAGAAACTTGCTGAACATGAAGAAGGACATCTGACGCCCCACACGGCTCAAAGCTAGCTCCACCCAGACCTATAGAATCGTCCACGCGGTGCAAGCGACGCCGTGTCCTCCCGCCTCGAAGCTTCGAAGCGCTGCTCCGAGTAGCTCCCGAGCGGCAGGCAGGTGGTCTCATCTCCTCCGCAGTCTGGGTCGACTCGAGCGGCTGGCCCCAAGTGCTCAAACATCTTCAAGCCAATGCACACCCACACATGAGCTCGATCACAGACTCCACCATCTCCTGTCTGCTCACGTTTAATCTTCAAAGCCTGGCGCGTCTCTCGTGAGGTTTCCAAAAGTTTCAGCACACACTTGGCTCATCTCAGCCGGTTCGACAAACAACGGCACTGCAGGAAATATACAAGCATCACCACCACTCGAAGGCATGCGTTTCTGGGCCCTTGGCCGCTTCAGCCCTTACTTCTGGCTATCATTGGGCCTCGGCAAGACACTGAAGCCACAAGTGATGCGGGAGAAAAACGCTGCGAATAGAAAACAAACCTTCAACAGTGCAATGCACTCAACAAATTCCATTGTAAAAACAACGTGGATAGAAAACAAGCCTCCAACAGTGCCATGCATTATTCAACAAATCCCGTTCATTTCAAAAAACAACTTGGACCTTCTGAGAGACCCGAAGCGTTGGACACTTCCACCTGCCGTGTCGGCCGCTCTCTCCGCCTAGGATCCCCCTGCAGCTGCTCTTTGGGCGTCGCCTCGGAGCTCCGCCACACCTTTAGGACACCGCTATCGTCGCCGGACACCAGCGTGGCGGCATCCATGCGCACAAGCGCCCGAACGCTAGCGCCGTGGCCATGCAGGACCTGGTTACACGCACCGGTCACCAGATTCCACAAGCGGATCGTTTGGTCTTTGCTGCCGCTGGCCAGCGTGCGGGAGCCCAAACGGGCGAGCGCCCATACCGCGTCGGTGTGGCCCGTCAGCGTGAGGCGGCAGGCGGCCGTCTCCAGGCACCAGATTTTGATGGTGTCGTCTCTACCGCCTGAGGCCACGCTGCCGTGAGACAACCTCACCAGGGCGAAAACCTTGCCTTCGTGTCCTTTCAGTGTTGCCAGACATTGCTCCGTGCGCCGATCCCACGTCTTGACCGTGCCGTCGTCACTGGCGCTGGCCAGGAGCGTCGCGGTGACCCTGCGCACGGCCCTTACAAAATCGGTGTGCCCGCGCAACGTGCAGACGCAGCGGCCGGAGGCGACCTCCCAGAATCGGATGGTCTTGTCAGAGCCTCCGGTCGCGATTTGGTCGTTTCCCCAGCGGCAAAGGGCAGAAACGCAGCCGTGCCCCGTGGCGATGGTCGCCGTGCACCGCCCGGACCGCAGGTCAAAGATCTTCACCTCGCCCGATTGGCTGCCGGAGGCCACGGTGAAGCGGTCGACCATGCACAGGGCGTAGACCCTGCTGCCGTGTCCGGTGAGCGTGGCGGTGCACGTGCTCGTCATCAGGTCCCAGACCCTCAGGGTGCGGTCGTAGCTGCATGTTACGGCCGTGGCGGCGCCGGTCCTGATGGCCTGCCCTACGGTGTCGCGGTGTCCTGTGAGGGTGGCGGTCTCCTGGAGCGAGCTCTCCTGGACCCAAAAGGCCGCGACGGCCACGAAGTGAAGTTCCGTTGAAGGGCGTTTAGTGTGAAGGGCTTTTCTTTGTGTTTTTTTGAAAAAGCACGAGATTGAATTATTGAAATCTGCAACTTGAATGCAAATTGAGAGAAACATCTCGAATGCATGAAGCTAATTCACGCCACATGTGTGAAAAACTCCTTGCCCTCCGTGAAAAATGGAGCTGATTCACCCTGTGCGCAATCCATGGTGCAGTGGTTGTGCGACATATTGATTGAGAAGTGCATGACACTATAGATGACACCTCATCCATTCTTGCCAGAATATTGTGACCAATCAATGAAACACAGCAGAAGTGTGCCCAAATGTCCTCTGCCGCCCATGCCTGACGTCCAACACGACTGCAACACGCAAGCATTCAAGACCTCACGAACCCTCTGAAACCCCACAGTCCACCACATGCTTCAGATGCCTCGCCATCATTGTCGTCTATGTTCAAATCGACCAAGGTCTTGGAGCGTTGCTCGGCCTCCTCCAGTGCCTGGCGGCTGGGCGACTTCTTTGAAAACCAACACAGCTGAAGGACTCGGCACCTCCCTGCGACTCTTCGGGCCTTGCAGCCTCGGTCACCGAGCTTGTTGAGCTGGATGTGGAGGGTCTGCAACTCGCCGTCCAAGGCATCCGCCAACGCCTCCACAAACTGGACTCCAGTCATCTAGTCAAACATGGCGCATTCACATCTTGATCCTACAAGGAGAAAACGACAGTATTCAGCAAACCATCAATGAGGAATATGCGTTCTAAGTTGTTTTTTTGACACCGTGTCCTTATATCCTTCGCTGGGAGCTGGGACGAATTAAACGGCTGACAATTCTTGAGGGTTCAAGGTGGTCTGAAGAGAGGAGCCAGGTTTTCTGCACCACCTGCCCAACAAAACAACTGAAACCGAAAGGGCGTCATCTCACATCATTGGGCGTCATCTCACATCTAACCTCAGGCCCTATTGTTTACGATGTCACGCCTCACGGACATGCTCTGGATGCTTTTGCAAGTCATGCCATGACCACCGGTTGTCTGAGGCCGCTGAGGCCCTTTGCGTTCAGTACTGCCTTCAGTTTAGCATAGCTTAACCTTCGTTGTGATTGCCGGGAAGGTTGTTGCTTGGTGTTTTCATGAACTTGCATTGGCACGGAAGGGGGGTGGTAGGGCGCCAAAGTTTCAAAGAACATAGTGCTGTCATGAACGTGTATGTTGTTACTGTGAAACTTGCTAAGACAACAAATGCCTGAACCTTGTTGTTGGTTGACACGTTGGACTCCTGAAGACTTGTGCGTCCTAGGAACTGAGATAGGATTCACATGGATTTCACCAATCGGCTCAGCAACACAACAGTTGCTACTGACATATACGTATGTAGCAAGAGGGGTTGTAAAACGGTGCCTTGCCTTTGCTGTAGAGTTACATGATGCAAACAATAACACGACTTCACAACACAGCATTTTTGCACGTCTTGACCTGCAGTAAAACAAAAAACACATTGTTCAGAACAACTCGTTAGATGATTTAGGGCCCTACAGGGTGGTGTGGCAATGTCTTTGGACCACCAGAATCATGCCGTCCTGTAAAGAAGCCAGGCCTCACCACCCACATCGGCAATGTCATTCGCATCTAAAATCAAGGCCATGAGGCTTCGATGGCTTTTGAGGCCCAAGGCGACGGCCTGGCAGGCGTTGCTGGGTATATAAGTGTCCTCACACTCCCAAAGTTCCACAGCAATAAAGTTTTCTTGCTCGCTTAGCCGGCCACACCGCACACCTTTCCAGGATGAAGATCAACAGGGTGCCAAAACACGACAGTCTAACACATAGATCTACCAATTGACCTGATCTACAGGAGTCTTCTCTTCGTCCGTGCAACACATCAACGCGCTGCTGGCCTTGGCTCCGTTGTCGCCGAACTGATTTCGCCGGACGCTGAGCTCGCGCACAGATCGGTTCTGGGTGAGCATGGTGCCCAGCGCCTGCAGAATGAGACCCATCTTGCACTGGCAATTTGGGAGCAAGGACATTCAAAAGATTCACGGTTGGATGGCCATTGAACCAAGACTGAAACTTCATTTGCCATCTATCCATCGAGGCCGGTCAATCGCTCAAGCCCCCAAAGGTTCAAAGTTCAAACCTCACCACTATGTCACTATGTGTTGCAAGGGAATGGTTCACGCTCTGCCCACTTTTGCATAATATGATGCCAAAAACCAAAGAGAAGAATAATGAGGCCAGCGGCCCACCCAACATGCAACCTTCAACTCCAAGTTGAACTGCCTTGAGATCTTGAACTTTCTAACCCAAGGATCGCATCATACATGGCTATTGTTCCATGTGGAAAGACTGTAGGCATGGGCCCAACTTGCATGCTTTCCTTTACGAGTTCTCATAAGCCGCTCGTCAGCTTGCTCAATCAAATGTTTCACCCAACTGCGCCACCATGCTCTCTTGCAACTTGCAACAGCCTGTCATGTCCTTAAAAAAGGACAATACCAAACCAACAGAACTCACACTTGTGAGCATGGAACAAGTCCAAATAGGTGAACACATGTTTCACTCTTCGAACGCGCCCAGCATGGCATGTGGAAGGTGGAATGATGGTCAATTCGGTCTTTTATGAATCAAATACTCAGTTCTTAAAGGTTTGAACGTTCAGCTAAGACCTCCCCACCACACTCTCTCTCTCTCTCATGCAATATCATCCCTGCATGCATTGCGTCAAAGCAACCCATGATCCAAATTGATCCACTTTGTACACCCACTACATGGCACACGCAACATAGCTCCGCAAGACTGACGCGCGTCCGAACAATGGAGGGTGGTCCATTTCCTGATCCCGGCCTCGGCTCCTTTATCTCCAAAGCTGTTGCTATCCAAGACCAAACATTCCAAGCGAGTGCTTGGTTGAAAACATCTCGCAAGAGCCTCACAGCAAGAACGTCCAACGTGTCCGACACAGCAAAACTCCGTCGTATCGAGAGTGCAAACAAGCCGAATAACTTGAAGGAGTTTCTCATTAATTGTTTCCTACAGGAAAAAACATGGAAGCTAGCTTCCCAATCAGAATTGGCCGTTTCCACACCAGCTTCATGCCGTAGACTTGGGTACAGAATCTTGTTGGGCCAAAGGAAACAGGGTCAATGGGACTTACAGACGATCAGAAAGACAAAAAAGGACACATGTTCAGGATCTCATCTCAACATCTGTCTAATTTTGTTCTCGCCTTTTTATCTTTCTCTCCCCTCCTTTATGGAAAATGCGAATACGCCAATATAAGAAAACAAAGCATGAAAGCTCAATACCGGATGAGCAAGCGCGCGGGAGCAGGGACCGCTTCCGCAGAGTCTACCAAGCGATCAGGGTACGAAGCCCATCGCCTGACCCAACATCGATACTGTAGTGCCAGGGATGCTTCACTTCAAAACCTAAAAGCCTTTCACAACCGAAGCTGCAGCTGCTCCGGGGCCGCTCATGCTTTGCACCGGTGTGAGGAGACCCTTAGCACTATGTTTGTTGCACTTATTTGCAAAACCCCTCTACGCACGAGTTGCACAGTCCTCTCAGTACCCCTTCGCACCAGTGCAACCAGGCAAAATGAACGAAGGAAATCAACTTCCACGCGCCTCCACTCCATCTGCACCGAGGGCATTCTCACTCATCTCCAAGCGGACTATGGTCTGGTTCCCGGACCATCTCCGTGCGAGTTCCTGCTCTTGGAGCGTAATTGGTGAATCCACATGCGAGGAATCATTCCGCGATGAAGTGCAGTTTGTCAAAACGACCATAATGTCAAAAGAAGTTCGAAACACTAATAAACAACGTTTTGATAAAAAGAAACACCAATTCCGTTTAGTTCTTTATATCAAAACTTGAAGGTTCAAGAAGCCACCCACCTTCGCCCATGAAGGCGGAATCTGGTTAGAGTTCAGCCTCGATCACAGTCAAGGAAGGCATCAGACCGTACTTCAGGGCATCCTCTAGTTCCATAAACATTCAGGTTGAAAGCCAAGAATCTTCAGATTGCGCAATGGCTCCAGGTTGAAGGAGACCATCTTCACCATGGCCTTGCAAAAGCTCTCGCTGGATTTCCAGAATACTGACATGCTTTTCTACACAAAAAACAACATGAAATGCAAGGATTTTGCTAATACACAAAAGATCCCAAAGTGTGTACCAAACTCTACCCAATTCATTCAAAAAACCTACGGCAAGGACAGGTTGTTGAGGCCTACCCGCAGCATTCCTCAAAATGAACAAACTAGTCAATGGAGGACGGAGGGCGATTTTCCAGCAAGGTTCTCCCAAGTGGCGCAATTTAGGCCTGCAAATACAATATCCACAATAATTACTGGCTCTTGCTCAAATACTTCCCCGTGGATGTCGGTACAATCGAGAATCTAAGGGTAGAGAAAACAAGGAATGTGCACACTCGCACCTCCGAAAACAATCTCACCAGAAACAATCTCACCTCAACCGCCAGCATCTGGAGCTGATGGTCATGCAAACACGACGTGAGCCAAAAGGACATGACGGGGATGAATTTGCATGTTCGTAAGGTGCAGAAATCCGATACTTGTTTGAGAGCTTGCTTGAGAGCTCAGGGAGGCCCTTTGGCCTTGAAGAGGTTGTCCTTTCCCTCGAGCTTTCCGGAGAGATCCTTGGAGCTGATCAGTCTGTCGTTGTGGAGTTGCTTATAGTAAAGCCCACTGTGAGGCTTGACATGGTACCGCTAGGCGGTCCTTGCCACAGAATTCGATGCGCCAAAACACTTTGCAACCTCCACCTATACCCCTAGACTGCTCCAGTTCAACATCAAAAAGTGATCTGAAAGGTACACACTGTCTCACTCGGCAAACCAGGGATGAGCTACTCAATGGAACAACACTGATGGTCCTCGCACTTTCAACGCTTCTTCAAACTGCTTTCCCAGCGTCCCACTCGCCACTGCTCAGCGCCGCAAACCACTGCGCACAGAAGCTCCAAGAATTTTGCCAGGCATCCTTTGCCAACAAACACTCAGGTCTCCACATGTCCCAGAGTTGTTCAACTGAAGAGCACATTGATCTATCAGGTTGCAACATGATTCGAGTGAATACACCTGACATATAAAAATCCCTGGACTTGAGTAGTCCTTTAAAAGTTATGTCTTGCGAGAGAATCCCGGCCCTGAACCCTGCGAACTCTGCGTCCAAGTGTCAGTGCTGGATCTTGTGACCTCACGAGTGCTGTCTGACTGGATCAGATCTGAGATCTCTTTCAGCAAATGGCCTTGGTGGGTTGATACATGCTGATACCAACTACTTGTAAGCTTGCAATGTCTGCAAACTGATGCAGCTGCTTTCACATGTCAACTCCGTCACAGGCCTTTCAATTTGGCTAAGCTTTGGCAAAGTGGCTCTCCACGCAGATTTCGCGAAAAAGACCGGCGTCATTCTCCAAGCCAGCCTTCCCAAGGTGCAAGTATCGGTCCATGGGATGCTTGACATTCGTTTGCCAAACAAGACAGAAAAGGAACACCTTCAAACCAAGAAGGTTGGCCTCCACACCTTCTATGAGGTATTTGGGGAAGCTGGGAAATCCAATTGTGATTCAAACATATTCAAACTATATAGGTACACTTTGGGATCCAATGGTTCGTATCTTTTTCAGGTGCAAACCGAAACCTGTGAGAGTTGGATTTTGCCCAGCCAGCTGAAACTAACCAGTGGCCTTCAACTGAGTTTCTGTCTCCTGGGGCTGGGCTAAAAATCAAAGTTACAAGTAGCATCAGAAACATTCACAAGCCACATCCAAGGCAAACACCAAGAAAAAAAGGAACCCATATATTGGAGCTGCATGAAACAATAGACACATCATGACAGATCCAACGCGTCCCTTGCTTTTGGCTGTTTGTGACTTGTGATCACATCATTTATGTCAACTGCTCCAGCTCAGGCCTCGCCTCGTCCTTCAGACGGACGACTTGGTCGCCGTCGGCGGCCTCCAGCGCCGCGTCCAGTTTGCTGGCCAGCTTCGGAGCGATGCGGCGCTGCAATGGTTTGAACAGCACCTGAGGTCACACGTCGAATACATCGACAAAATTTTGAAAGGTGAACACATGATGAAAGGCAAGGCATCTGAAGATCTCAGCAAACAACTTGCTGCACTTGACCAGTGGGAAGGTAAATAACTTCAACTGTACGAGGATTCTATGATCTGGATTCTATGATACATTCTGAGTTTCTGTTGCTGATTTCCCTCAATGCACCTTCCCTCAATCGCCAATAAAAATGTCTCTTCCGATGCTTGAAGCCTTTTTTGACCTGTCATAATCGGTCAATCATGGTCGAATGGACCATGGGGTAATCAAACACTTCCTGCGGTCGAGACACAAAGGTGCCAGTCACTTGAACGATGGGAACGGCGAGATTCAGAACGGCCACTACGGTGCTGCCTCCCGGGACTAAAGCCAGGTAGAGGATGGCCAAAGCCTCGCAAATCGTTGAGTGCAAGGCCCTGTTCAGCTGTTGGGTCACAAACCACTTGGGCCATCACAAAAGCGATTGGAACTGCTTTGATCCAAAAACCATCAAAACCCATGAACCCTTCGGGTTTTGCGTCTGCTAGTCACTGGTCCATGGACTGAACTTGAATGAAACGAGTGGGAGTGGATCGCTGAAATGTAAGGCAAGGCGCAGCTTGGGGAACGTTCCTTGGGGGGTAGGGCAAACGTGCAAACACGTGTAGGAAAATAGCAAAGAAAGACACACTCTGATATGCAATGTGTAAATTTATTGTAATCGACTGTAGGTTGTAAAAAGGCCTGCGTTGGCTTGCCAGCATTTCTCAACCTCATACCCTGCTGAATGGACTGACACACAATGGTTGCAACATCTCAGGTGTACTGGCTTGTCTGCCCAGATTCTCCCACAGCAGCATCTTCCCTTGGCCGGACATGTGAAGCCGCATGAAGCAAAAGCAAGGGACAAACTCAAGTTCCTGATGATTTTTACTTCCAAGATATCAATTAGAGCAACCCCCCACTGCTCAGCAGGAGTGTTTCGTTTAACAACAACGTCACCAGGTTTGTAAATAGCACGCAAAACAGCTCAAACGATTCAAAAGATCGTTGACCTTTAAGTGGACCCTTCGGTGTTTCCCCTCACTGACCATTGCCAAGCTTCTTTTCGTGGGAGTAAACTGCTTGTAGAGGAGCGGCAGCAACTCAGAGCACCTCAGCAAGAGCACGTGGGGTCAGTGGGACTGGCAATATCTTCGCTCAACTTGCTGTATTAAAGTTCAACAAAGACTGGGCATAAAGGGGGATAGGAGGTGGCAAGCTGACCCACAGGAAGGACAAGCAAATAATGACATAAGCATTTAGGAGCAAAACAGTCAGCAAAACTTGCTTTGAGCAAATGGTTGGACACATGCCACTGGCTTTGCTGAAGGCCCACTTCGTCCATGAAACCTGAACCAGTCTCGAACGTTCCGGTGCATGTTCACAAGTCAGTCAGATTGCATGGATTGCTGATAGGTGACTCCACATGTTTCTACGGTTGACAACTTTGTCTCTTAGAGCAACTTTTGTACGCATATCGGAGGACTAAGTCAACTTTCGGAAAAGCACGAGCCTTCTCAGCCTTGGCCTGGATAGCTTTCTTGCTGGCATCGGTTGAGTCAGCAGAAAACGTGGGCAATGACAACCTGGGACGGCAAAGAATTGTCAACAAAATGCTGCAATTGCATGTTCCACGTGTTCACTCACGTGTTCCATTGTCCAAGCATCCACCTGAAGTCAAAATGCTGCTAGGCAACACCGCCAGGTGGTTGGAGGCAAATTCCAGCTGGCATCTTTTATCTCGCAGCAAGATGATGTGGAACCTGCAACGTCCGCAGAAGCCGCAACGGAGGGAGGCTTCAAAGAACAAATTACAGCGGAGCCATCAGCACTATGACATTGCAGCTAGCTATAGCTCGCTTGCAACTGGGTCCACTACAAACAGCTCAACCAACAACCCTCCTAGACCTGCCCAGCACCTCACCATGCCCATACTCATTATATATGCCAAGGAACGTCACCAGCCAGATTAAAGTGAGTGCCCCAAGCGCTTGGACGAACGCGTCCTCCGCTGCAAAGCAAAGGAAGGCGAAGAGGATGTCCTTCCTCGGAACAAGAACATGCCAGGACTCCGGGCGGTCGAACAACCGATGCGTTCCTCTCGTCATTTCGTGGCATCGTCCGTCTCCTTTGGATCTGAGGCGAACTCTCAATGCATCACTTATAAGCCCCTTGGAATTAAGTCTCACTCCCGTGCTGCCAGATGCCACCTTAAAGGATCCTGAATCCAAATGGCCCATACCAACATTGTAGCTTAAAGAAGCAATCCGCCAGCACATTCTGGACACTGGGCTGAACAAATCACACGTTGAGAACTGTGCACATACCTCCCCCCACCCCACCTACCAGTCCAAGACAAATACTTTCAAACATTTTCAATATTTTCCAAAAATTTCAAAAAAACAGTTAAAACTAAAACTAACAAAAAACATCTCCCAAACAGAACTCCATGGTGAGGAAAAACAAACCATCCGTTTTTTCCCCGAGGAGACCTGGTTTTCCCTCCGAGAACGTGTCTCTCCCCATCGGCTGCCTGAAGCCGTACCGCACCGACGAGAAAGGAGAGGAATCCGTTCTCCAAAAGCTTTGAGAACAATGAGAACAATAGGGATCATTGAGTAGGAGACCGTTGTTTTCAGTGGTACAGTTTTTCAGTGATCATTGAATGTGACATGTTTTGAAGCCGGATGGCCATTGGCATCTCCAGGCTGGATGCGAGCGTGTGGCTTACAATTCAACATCAATTGCAACAAGTGTGCCTCTTAAAAATCAGACTCCACGAACCTCATCAACCAGCTTAATCTTACTAAAGAATGGCCTGGGAATTCACTTTATGAGATCCTTCTGTAGATGCCCTGGGACTAGCTGAAGTTCGGACGAAGTCGCATGGTGTCGAAGGAATCCGACACGAAGGGGCAAACGCCAGAAATCATGGCCTCCGTGAAAGAGAGCATGCCATAGTGCCGCCCGGCCGGCAGCCGTATGGCTGCGAGGACGGCCTGTCACAGTCTGCCAACAAGATCCAACAAGTGCTATGATAATCTATTATCTGATCAACTTTGGAGAAAGGGTTGACAAAAGCTTATACAGTTTTGCCAAAGCGATGCCATATTTCTCAAACATTTGGTATTCCAAGAATGGTCAAAGAGGCGCCACCCAATCCTGTCGCATGTTTCTGGTCAACACCCAAGTGGTTCCAAATTCCAATCGAAGAGCCTGAGCGAGCAGCCACACACATCCACAGCTGAAGAGCCCTGTGTACACCTCCCAGCTCAGCCCATGTTCTGGGCTCAGCTGGTTGGTGGCCAAGCTTGATGCAGCCGCCTGAGGGAACAAGAACCATGTTTGCAAAGAAAGGCTGAAGACCTCATGGAAAAGCCGGTGCTCACAGCTTGCTGCCAATGGTAAATGAAGATAAACCCGTGCGGAAATTGAGCAGGCAACTAATTATTTGCTGCAATTCGAGGCATCCAACTACGGAATCAAAACCGTTGTCGTTCGAGTGAAGTGTTGCACATGGACCTCGTCCCGGTGCCAATCCCTCCGATCCGCTCCAATTCAGCTGTGGCACGGCCACGCAGAGGAGATACGTCGCCGAAAAGGCCGCCACGACGTAGCGCGGTCGGTGCTTCACCCAGGGCAGCGCCTCTGGGGTCGACGTCGGCTGCACGGCCTGCGCCGCCTCTGCCGCCTCCGGCGCCACGTCCGTCGCGGTCGACGGGTCACTGTCCGGCGCGTGGACGTCGATCGTGGCAGCGCCCACAGTGTCCTCAGTGAGTGCAGTGGCCAAAAAGCCAACTGAGATCGAGACCTTGAGGGAGATAAGATTTAAAGAATGGTGGAATAGTTGTACAACAGTGATTGAATCTGGTGATTTTAAAAGGCGACATACAGATTATTGTATTCTACTTCAAGTTACAGGAGCCATGGATGAGCCTACGAAATCCGTCGATTTTAGCCACTTGGTGGAAATATGCTGCCAAATCTCCGCCATCAGCCGCGTCGAGTCACTTTCGGGGTTTGGTGCTTTGAGCATTCCGGCGCAAAAGAGCACCGCGGTGCCAATGGCTTGAGTCAACCTTCGCTGCTGAAAGCGGCGGTTTTGAACCCCTTCCGGTAATGGCAGCGGGTCTATCTTGAAGATCGGCAACTGGTCAGTGTGTTGGTACTTTGCTCTATAGGAACCATGGGTCTTGTGGTTTTACCATATGATGACTCATCTACTGCCCGACCGCATTGAAAAGTGGGTTGCAAGTTGCAACCTTCATCATTCTCCGGACCCGAAAGAAGGTGTTAGCAACCGGGCCAAAAGTTGTTGTGATGGTACAAGCAGCACATGCTGTTGAACCAAAGGTCCCTAGAACCATGTAGAACCATGTAGAACCATGTAGAACCCATACATCTTCCCCCGAACAATCCCATAGCATCCTGACTTGTTGTTCCTCTACCATGCAGGCCTGTTCAGCTTCCATGCTTGCCTGAGAAAGCGCCATATATATGTGGCGAGGATCATAAGAGTAGGGTTGCTTCTTAGGGGCTTGGGCGTGTCACTTGCAATGGAAGCTCTAAATGGTCTTTTCGTCTTCTCATTATAACATGTCCGCATCACCTAAACCTCACGACCTGATCGCAGCAACAAAATCCTTCCCCACACGCGCAGCGTGCGCTGCTTGCAAGCTCGGGAGCAGGGCTATTGCGAACATGATGCCGACAAACCTGGCAGCTACTTGGAATTCTCTCTAGAAAAAGCACAGAAGGCAGCTCCAAGCCGTTCATCCATTGGGTGGCCGTCTAGAACTATCATGTAGTATATCATACGATACCTGAAAGTCCTTAAACAGCATGACTGTTGAATCCGGTTCAAAACTCCCAACATTCCCACCCTCTTGGTTTCCGCTGCCAAGGCACGTCAATGCTCTTTCAGACTGGCCGGCCACCTGCGGAACTGCTGCCACGAACTCCTCGAAGTTGGTGAAGTTCGTGACATTTTCCATTGACTCGAGAGAGAGTCTGGGCTTGGCTGTGGCAAACCGACTGAGCTAGCTCCGAGCTCGACACCCTGCAGTGCTTTCAAACTGGATGTTCTGGAACATTGTTTCCTATTGCAAGATCAAGCTTTTCTTGCCAATGTGAATATCATAAGCTTTTCTTCCCGGTGTCTTGATGTCTGTGGAGAGGTCGTGGAGACCGGGTTTGAGCTCGGCGCTGCTGCGGCAAGCTGCACAGTACTTTGAAGAAAGTAGACTCACACACTTTGTTGGTCTCTGAAATCCGCAAATGATTGTTCCCATCGTCAACATCTTGCCAAAGAACACAAGAGCAGACCACGAACCTCCCGCTACGCATTACAGCTGCCACACACTTGGTACAGCTGCAAATCAAAAACCTTTAGATAAACATGCACCTGCTGCAGCTCGGCTATGACCAGTTGTGACCACTGACCACTTATGACCCTGGCAAAACCCTTGCATCTTGCACCGTTTTTCCGAAACAAAGTTCTTCAGCTCCTGGCGCCCGTCTTGACACCGCAAACTTCTTGAGCGGCGTTGTGTGAGCTTTGACACCGTCACGTGGGGAAACCGCCAGCTGAACCGCGGTCTGGAAGTCCATCCGGTCCTTCGAAAAGGCTCCTAAGGCCTCACAATCAGCTGAAGGGTCGCAGTCTTAGGGCTGAGAATATGCCAAGCAAAGCATTCCGTGTGCAACGCCGGTCCTGGAGGGTTTCTACTTAGGTGCTAGTCCAGAACATTTCATGAAGCAAGGTTGCCATCTGTTCAAGGCAACGCAATGTCAGGCATACACAAACAGAACATAGAACAACTAGAGACTGGACACCCCGATTTTAAGAAACCTGCACCACGCAACAATAGACAATAGAGAAATAGCATGAGCCATGAGCGCCTGACAAAACAAGCGAATCAAGAGAGAGCCCTATAACCTTGTTGATGCAACATCCAACTGCTCCTCCAGAAGAATGATAAAATACATTATGATCGTTCTGATTTACATCATTCTGATCAAATCGTGCCATCGTTGTTGTCTAAGTGTGGCACCCATGGACCTTCAGAAGAGCTTGGGTCCTGAGCGATGGATCCATCCCGACGGGTCCGCTGAGGATCGCGCCACCGGAGCGTCAGAGTGAAGACGTGCTGCCACCGGAGTGTCCGGATCAGCTTCGTGCTAACTGGCGGGTTATTGCAAGTGAAGCACATCGTAGAAATCAAGCATGTGACTCGCAGGAGATGTGCAGGAAAAAACACCGGCTGTAGCACCCTTTAGTCACAGACTCAGTTTCACCATGTGAAGAAAAACCTCACAGATGTAGCCCGCGTTCTGAGGAACATCTGTGCATTCTCCGTTGGAACCAAACAACCACAAACAACCTCTCTGTGTTATGTGAAACGAACACAAACACCGAACAAACACTATGATTATAGAGATTCCTGGTCACTACCAGGACAGTGCAAACTAGAATCGACAAGTGCCTATTTAGAAGAGACACCTCTTTGTTGTCTAAAGGAAACTGATGCAAGTCAATCCTACGTGATTTGACCCGATCTAAAACATTACGCAAAGCTACAACCCAAGGAAATCCAATGGAAGCTTCCCACAGCTTGGTTCCATGACCGGAATTTCCCGCCTTTTTGGGCCCCTCCCCTATCCTTAAGAGGGACACACCGGACAGGCCCAGCTTGAAGGGTCGGACTCCAGTCCGAACCCGGCGGCCTAGTCGATGACCCACGAGAGCCCGGCGAGTCGAGGTGCCACACCTGGGGGTTTGTGGTTTGAGCGGATCGTGGGGTGGGACTCGCGGCACGTGCTCTGGCTCGGCATGGACCTCGGAGTGCCAAAGTGACCTTTGGATGAATGGGCCGAAGTGGCCTCAAAACTGGGAAGGTCACTTTGAAGAACCGGGTGGAGATCATCCATGGGAATGGGAATCTTGCCTTTCGGAGTGTCTCGTGTTTTGCAAGCCTTCGAAAAAAAAGCAACAATTAGAACTTCACATTCAGGTGTCACAATAGCAAAGAAATACCAAGAACCAGGCTGACCTTAATGTCCTTTTTTTGCAAAAGCTTCTTCAATTCTTGAGACTTTGAGACGACCTTGTGCTGCCGATCGCTCTCTTCCGTTGGGAACGGCGAAAAGGGATCCCTTCAGTTCGTGCCCAGCCATGGAGCATCACTTTCGGGCCGAGGAACAAGAGGTAAACCAGTTTAAGGCCCCATGCCAAGAGCTGGAATGGATTCTTCCATTGCTACACTTGGGCGAGACATGATGATCATCGACCATCAAAATCAAAACAGAACCGTTCAATATCATGCGAGAGTGTCAAAAGGCAAGGACAATTTGCTGGAAAGCTAGCGCTTCATCAAAGTCCCACAAGCAGCGTTCAGAAACCAATACGGCCCGCCTACCCCCCCCAAAACAGACTTGTTGGAAGATGTTGGAACTGTGGACCTCTTCATTGCCCGTGCAATTAGTGCACCCAGTGCACCCAGACCAAGTTGAACCCCACACCATCCCGCCATCCCGCGCCTTTTGGTGCCCCACCTGTGTGGAGCCACTTGGCTGAACCTGAGCGGCTCGAGGCTTGGAAACCGACATCGTCTCGACCCCACGTAGTGTTCATATAGAATAGGCTCGTGAACCGCCATTATAGATGCCCAAAAAACAAAAGAATGGCCCTGTCTTCAGTCATTTTCGGTCTTTGCTTGCAGGTTAGTAGAAGCTGGTACGAAGTTGAGCCAATGGAAGCCTATTGAAATAGCAAAATCGACTTGAATGATCTGTACATTAAAACATTTCCCTGAAACACAGCCTTTGGCAGGTGCAACCCTGCCCATTTGTTCACCAAAATCGAGGATCTCACTCGAACAAACACTTGGAGCAACAACAACGCTGAGCTTTAATTGTTCGACTTGGCTTTAGACTAACACCAGCCTGTAATGCAAGAGCTAGGTTTTCACGCCTCAAGAACTGGAGAGGAACCGGACTTCACCATGGTCCGATGGTTCTTGGCTTCACAAACGCAAGATATATAACGAAGGTACATTGGAATCGATTTCGGAGTATCCCACCTGCACCCAGCATGGAGCTCCATTGTGAGATCGCTCGCGAAGAGCATAGACCTGAGCCGGTCAAGTGGAAGCAGGGCCCAACTGAGAGCGAATCTGTTACAAGAGGCTGTCCTGCAACAATGTGAAGCCAATGAAGGTTTGTGGATGTTTGTGGTGGCAATCCTGGTTCCAAATGGGACATGACCTCCAATGGTTTTGTGATTTGTTCAAGCAATGCCAACAGCCAGTCGTGACTCCTCAAGAATCCAACAAGAACGGAAGACCACCCAACCCCTTTGGACAAACCCTTTGGGGGTGTTCCATGGTGTTTTCCATAGACGGACACCTGCAGAAGTGCTTAGGCTTAGGAGATGCTGAGGTTTTTAAAACGAGATCGCCTGAACTCGTGGGCGGCTGGGTCTCCCCGACCCCATGGATGCTGATCTCCATCCTTCCACTTCATCATCCCGGACTCAGCGTGGTCGGAGATGGTTGAGAAAAAGGTCTCAACGAAAAACTGTCGGTGTTTTTTCATCCTTTTTTACTGCTCGGAATGCGTTCTTCGGGACGCATCGCTCGTATTTCTCGTCATAAAATGGCTCTTTGGAAAGCAACAAAAGTGTCGAGCACCCTCTGGAATGATTAGGTCCAAAAGAAGAATTCCATGCTGAAGACATGGTCTCGGTTTGTCCAATACTTGGGATCATGAGGGAACTTTGGTTACAAAACCACCTTAGAAGCAATCCACTTGTAGACCTCATGAGACGACCACGCAGAAAGAGCGATCAGGGTGATACTTGGAGGAAAGGCAGTGCCAGCTCTTGTCCACATCACCCATCGTACTGAACGCCAAACAGACTAAACCGATTCAATTTGGGACCTGATCGTTGCAATGACATCTGTCCATAACTTGCTTGCAAGCTCAGGAGCAGTCCGATCGCCAACATAATGCCCACAAACCTGGCAGCTGCTTGAAATTCTCTCACCGGGCTGCTAAGCTACTAGTTGTGGATTGGGGCCTGTGCCAAAGAGCGCAAAAGGTCTTGACATTTCAAATTTCATGCTGAAAAAAGTGGCAGGCCAGAGCTGTTCATTCAAGGTTGACCATCTCTTAAAGGGTTCTTGAATAGCCAAGCGGGCTTCTCAAGCCGAATCTAAACCACCTCCAACAAAATTCCGTCTTCCAACAGCATTCCTATACTACAATAATCTATATATAGATGTAACATCTCAATCCCAATCACTATAACCATCCCAACACTCTCACTAGATCTCAGTTCTCACGCCAGGCCACGAGGCCGCGCCCTGTACGACTGGTCGGTGACCTGCTGAAGCGTCGCCACGAGGCCGCGCCGTCCGCGCCGACTGGTCGAACTGGTCGGAGAGGACTGACGGGAGCGGCCCGGTTTGAGCCCGAGACTCTGCAAAACGATGTTCTTTCGTCCAACTTGGATCTGTCTTCACCAGGTCGCATCCAGCAAGTGGATTCTGGTTTCTGTACATACTTCAGAGTATGGGGAGGGAGCTCCATTTGTAGGTCCCTCTGTTCACTTGTGGAACAGATCGCAAACTGTCGTACATGTACGCGATTTTGTGCACCCGGTTCATCACTTGCTGTTCTGATAGAATGACCAGGAACAAATGCCCTAGTTTAGGATAGTCATTCACTCCTTTGCCTGGCTGAAGACGAAAGTCATCCTCACCAACTCGCACAGCTTCTTCTTCGCTCAAGGTGGTAGGGTTTAAGCACGTCCTTTCGTGCCAAGCTCTCGCGCTGCAGGTGGCATCCAACTCTCAAGGAGTCTGTCAGTGGCCAACACATGCCGCAAAGAGTCTCTCTGGGCCAACACCAAGAGACATGCTCCAAACTGCTGTTCACCACCCAGGGAGTTGGAGATCCCACTGCAAAGTATTAAATAGTTCTGTGGAGATCCTGCTGGATGCTGATTTGCTGGTTTGTGATGTCTCCACAAGTGTGTAGCTAGCAGGAAAGCGTTTTCTTGAACATTTTCTGTTAGCTTGATAGGATGGAGTTCATCTCAATTTCACTTGGGGAAAATCCATGTGTTGTCTTTCAACCTCGCAGCTTCCATCAACATCTACCGTATCCTCAGCACTGCCCGCGTCCAGGCACGCTCAGTGGGGAGTTGGCACATGCCCATCCACCTGAGCAAACCGCTGCCAAGGTGGCAGGGCTCTTCTCTTGAAAAGGGAGCACTTGGTGAACTGGACAAGAGCGACTCTGAGCGCATTGCTAGTCTAGTAGAAGTCTACATTCTATCTATTATACATGGCGACAAGAAGGTCACATCGAATCATATCCAGAAAAGGAGTCGAAGCACGGGCTGTCTGGGCTTTGCACGTAGAAGTTCAAGGTCATCGCAGGTAATGAGACCTCCTGGTCCTTCAGCCGTTCGTCGACGACCACCTGACAAGGAATCTTGCAGCACTCAAAAAAAATTGCTGAATATAGCGATTGCTGCAGGAGAAATGTGATGGCACCATGCTAGAGAAACTGCTGAGAATATGTTTTCGCAGGGCTCTTAGGGCCGTTTCGCATTCAATCCGAACGTGTGACATTCTTAGGAGACCCTAGAAGCAAGGCAAACATGAGCCCATCAAATCGCTGTAAGATGGTCTATAGGGTGTGTGTGTGTGTGTGTGAAAATTGTAAGCTCAATGAATGTGACATAAACACGCCCAATCCATTGGGCTACACCGGAGAAGGGCATCCTGGCACAAACAGGATTTCAATGGAAGCGGAAGGGTGCTGGCACATGGGCCCTCTACACTCTCGGGGTTTGCTGACCCAAAGATTCAGAAGGGGAGGTCATTGTTGAGTGCCAGACTTGCTAGAGCATTGGCTGCCCAACTTAGATCTGCCACACCGGTTGCACAAAAAGATCAAACATCATAGCATCAAGAGACCTCAAAGCAAAGAAATTAATCCTTTGAAAAGGGAAAGCACAGACTGCGGCAGTGCAAAATCATCCACCATCCTGTCAAGAGTAACCGTAAGAGATGTCGCAACACTTGCACCGGAAAACGTCCCCAAAAACGGTTCCCATCCACCCTCGATGACCCACCTGGCACGCCAAGCGTGAAGTCGGCGTCAAGCAGGGGGCCAGGTCCAGCAAATCCTGCTCACAAAGCATGTCGCAGTACTTTCGTCCGAGCCAGCCCAGCGAGAAAAATCCAAAGAAGTTTATATATGCCCATCCCATCCCATCCCAGTGAGTAGGTGCACCGAACACCAAGATCCTGTGTGGTATAAAAGCACTTGGGCTTTGTGTGGGTATGTTTCCGTTGAAACCATGTATAGTGTTCGTGTTCTCGGGTGTGGCTGCTTCGATCTTCCTGAAGATCATGGCTCCCATGGCTGCAGCTCCGGCTTCGATGAACACCGTAGAGACGAGGTCAGCCAACCCATTCCTTTCCCGCTTTCGGGGTGAAACAACCTTACTCATCTTACTCATATTACCCAGCTCTTCATTCATTCAGCCAAAAGGAAACACCTTATTTTTTGATCCATTGTCCCAAGTCAAAGTGATTTTGATCTCTATGCATTTCCGTCCTTCAAGTCAGTCGACGTTGAGACTCGTTGAGACATGCAGGAAGAAAAAGCAAGCGACGTCCTCTTCCTTCTCCGTGGGCTCCCCATACTTCTTGTAGTCGTCCTGGAGCCAGTGGAGGAGAAAACAACAATTCCCTCTTATCATTTCTGGTCTTGGGAAGAGGTCACCCTTCCAAGAAGTAACCGATAGCGAAGGTTTGCAGAAGAGCACACTCTTGGAAACTCTCCAACACTCCCAATTAGACACGCCGATAAATATCCTGAAGCAAACTCTTGGCATCTCTTGCTTCTCAGGCTGTTCGCTTGGATTTCTTTGGTTCCTATATTCCTAACATCCTGTGGATATTGAATTTTGAGGCAGTGGTGCGGTTTTGCGGGTACAATCAACAATCTCGGGGATCCAGCACAATCAACTTCGGAGATGAGGGATGTGGTTCCAGGGACGGGCGCACCGGCCGCCTTACGGAATTACGCCGTTGTCAGAATTGAGGCCGTTGTCCTTCACCAGGCCTTGATTTTCTGCGAAGAACACATCTTGTTGGATCTCTCATTTGGGCGGTCTCCCATGCGAGATGGTTCAAGATCCAAAGCCCATTTCTTCCAATGCAAGTGAAGTGCCTACCACCTACTCTACTAACCATGATGCAGTTCATTGTGACCCAAAATGATCCCGCAAAATATATAGAACCTCCCCTTCAAGATCGGGAATTCTACCTCTTATTGGAGTAGACAGTAACATAAGCAATAGCAGCACTAGCAAAACATGGCAAAACGCACCAAACCGGGCCACCAGGCTGCGGTCAAAATCACGTGGCAAGTCGAGCATGCCAAGGACGCTTCACAAGCGCCCTCCAGATCCACCTGTCGGCGGTTCGCTGGAGACGGACGTTTGGAGAACATCAAGGTCTTTCAGGGTGTGGCGCGCTAGCTCTACCATTGCATGCTGTTCACGAGTGGAAAACATGTTTTCCCTGTGCCAAGTAGGTTGGTTCTGAGTAGATTCCAGCTTCCTACTAGCTCTCGCTTGGCATACATCATTCTGCACCCGTGTCAGGGCAAATCAATTGACTACAGTGGAAAGGCACCCTGCATCCCGCTATCCCAAGCCTCTGACTCTATACATCAACGTTCCGAAGGGGTAAACATGGGCAAGGTTTGCCCACCAAACATGGTGAACGACTCCGACGAATCCAAGCCCATCCCAACCTGGTTTAGATGCGCCGCTTCCAGCACCGTTGTCCCCGAAGGCACTGTGACCTTTGCAGCCAGCCCTCCGGGGGGGGGCTCCGTGGAGTTTCAGGATCCACGCCAATCCCAAACACAGTCAATCGGCATATAGGCATTCTGTGGATCTTCAGATTGTGTATATGATATTATGTTTGATATTGAGGGTGTAGGTCATGTACACACACACACGAGATACAAGCAAATGGTGGTGCTCATGGTTGGAGCCTGATTCTCAAGAACAAAGACCACATTTCTAGGGGCTGCGGTCCCTCTTGTCAGGGATCCAATTGCATCCTTTAACGGCAAAGCTGAGCCTCCAGCAGTCTTTCGAGAGCCGTCCCGTTGCTTGAAGTGAAAGCCTCAGGAACTCGCAAATCTCTCCATCTGCTTCGACAGATTTGGAACAGCCTTTGCCAAATGAACAGGTCTTTCCAAATGGATCTGCCACTGTAAAACAATGACAAAACAGCGTCAGACGTCACCCTCCCCAAACCCCTTGATTGCTCTCCAGCGGCTGATCTTCTCGGCGTTCTCGTCCGCAACTGGCACAGCTTGGGCCACGGAGGTGTTGGTTAGGGTCGGGCTGTGCCAATTTATATAAGCAGCTGGCTGCGGCTGGAGTACCCGAAAGGGGATGTGTAGGTTGTTTGGTCAGTGCTCTTTTGTTCAAGCTTGCCAGCGCCTATCTGGGCAGGTGCTCACAGGGTGTCCACACAGCATGGTCATCCATAAGTAGAGTAGTAGAGTAGAGAGAAGATGTGGAGATCTAACATTTTCATGAATGTCACCACAGGTTACAACCGTTTTAATGTCTGCACACTCTATCCAGGATCTGTGAGGCAAAAGTGTCCACGTTGCTGAATGGTTGCTTTGTCATATGACTCACGCATTGCCCAGCATTTGGAAGAATCTCAAGATAGGGGATGACCCAGAATCTTTCCAAAATTGCATCAGGACCTCTAGACATGACACAAATGATGTCCTGGATCTTTGATTACCATCTTGGAGGGCCAAGTTTGATGGATTACCTGTTTCTGGGATTCTTGGGATCAAAGGGAATCAGTTGAAGTTGAAGGTCCAAAGTTGGATTCCCGACATGTTCAGCCAGTGATCTGCTCCAGGAAGCTTCCCCTGTGATCTGCATGATAGCCTCGCGCAAACACCTAAACTATGTTTGGGCAGCAGAACCCCAAAGCCTTCACCTGCAAAGCCCACCGACTAGCGACCCACCTGAACGATGCCAACGTCCCAAGAATTGCACACCAGCAAGGCCCGGACGGGAGAAGCCTCCCAACAGGATCCGGAGGAACTGGGTCGACTGTTGATGGTCAACGGGGTCCCAACGGAAAGGGGTCCTCTGAAAAGGTGTTGACCGTTTGCTTTGTGCGGATGATACCGCCTGGGCCAAAAGATATCGCGTGATGAGGTGCATCTGGGGTCAGGCGTTCAGGATGCATACAAAGGACCCTCCTCCCCGACGGATGTCCAACACCAAACAGTTTCAAGAGAGCTAATCCAACAGGAAGATGCACCCCCAAATTGCAAGTTCTACCTTTTTTGTAGTGAAGCACATTGAAACAGCCCAACACAACTGAGAAGTGACCGTGATCGCCACTCTTCCCATGGTCCTGTTGAAGGTGCCCACGTGCGGGCAATGCCTGGCCCGACCGAGTGACTGGTGACCGAGTTTGTGGGGCTCATGGGATTGCCCTGAGATTGCCACCGCCACGATGCCAACATGAAACCCAGAAATGGACGTAAAGCAATTGATGACTTGCTGCCGTAAAGCCTGCATCACGTTCAATCTTTTGTGGCATCCACTACCACACAGTTGCTGGGCCATGTCAGTTTTTGAGCGCAGCAGCGACTAGCAGCGACCGCTGGTTGGCTTTCATGCTTCAGTCAGAGCAAGTCCTCATTCCTGGTATTTGAGAAAGGCCATCATGTGCCAAACACTTCAAAGGCGTGGCAAAAAAGGAACCCCGGCTTCATTTTAGCTCCATGCCCCACAAATTTGAAAGGTTACAGTACATGGTTTTCTTTTGATCATGTTTTGACACACTTTTTTGACTTGTTGTAGCCGTTGTCAGCGGTGCACAGGTATCTTATAGAATCACAGCCTCAAGGTGTGGAGGAAGGTAAGTGGAGGTGCCTGGTTGTGTCCCAGAAAAGTTGGCAAGAAATACTGGTGGGCATGGTAGCGCTACCTCCGTTTCTTTTCCGCCCAAAAGAGCTCCCCACACATTATGCAATCAAAATGAAACAAGGACTCTCAACACTGAGGGTACCTCCGTTTTTGGCCCGCCACAAAAGGCCCCCGTCCTACTGCCAAACCAAATGGCTCAACCCCGTTCAAACCCCTCTGGTTGCTTGAACCGCTGAATCCCCAAGCGCCTGGCGCCAATCTTCTCAGCATCGTTTGATCAAGGTTCGCTCAGAGGCACTGATTGCAGGAGATGTTTGGTCAAAGAAACATAAGATGCTTGGGTGACATGATTTTGCCGGAAGATTGGCAAGTGAGGTGTTGTAGCACCAACATTTCAGGTAGTGCATACTGATGTCACCCATTTTTTGCATCAGGAAATTCGAGTGAAAGTGAAACTCTCAAGAAACTCTGATCTCAAACATTTGTTCATGTTGACTCCATGCGTTTGCAAGGTAATTCCCTTTGGGTCAGCGATGCTGTTGTCACCTTTGGCCTTTTGCAGCTGCGTTGGCACCTGATCCTTGGAACATCTTGGAACCACCTCAATCGGTGGCATCGAGCACTTCTCGTGAGATCACCCTTTTGTTTCCTGGCCCTGGCCTTGCTTGGGCGAGTGCTTCCTGGCGCATATCGCCCCATGTTTCCAGTGGGGTTCCCTCAAGTCAGAACACCCCCCCGCAGAAAGAGAACGTGACAGTTCACAGTTAGCTTGCGAGAGGCACAAAAAGGGACGTTTCACACCAGTCCGCATCACCAAACCAATGCCTTCAGTGGACCAACGCCCGGCGTGGCCAACTCAACTGCAAACATGGCGGCAGCGACCTCCTGGAACGTTAAACAGCACTGTTGGGGGTTGAAACGTAAATTGACCATGGCAACCAAGAGAAGTCGTCCATGGAATTCATTCTACTCCCAAAATCAGAACCCTTGGCTCGAGAATGCAAGTCTGCGGTGGTGGACATTTGGTTCTAGGTCACCCAAAAAGAGTTCTTCGGAAGTATCGCCAAACAGTTAGAAAGATATCTGAAGCTTAGGTTGGAAATCTATATCTGAAATCACTTCAGGCCAGCACACGGGTCAGCGCACCTATTTTGCTCTACCAGCGGCGGTCAGCTCGAACGCTTGACTCAGGCAGGTTAAGCCATGGCAGGACTCTGCAGGTTCATGGCTTACGATCTGAGACTCATCGGTGAGTCATGACGCTTTTGCACGGGAGTCATGACGGCCTCCCACCAGACACCGATGCGAGCTTTCACATCACTACTTCATGCTTTGGATGGGAGAAATCGATGAGGCGACCAACAACATCTATATACATCTATCATTGATCGCTCTTCATTCCCAATCTTCGGGGGGACCGCACCTGCCACTCCACGTGAGTAAATCCAACAGCCGACAGCCTAAAGGGAACCCCGGAAAGGAACATCCAAAATCTGAGGGGGTTGGAGGAAGGCCTGCACTGCGCACAAATCCACTCCGAATGTTCTGATGAAAAGCAACTAAATTGTCATCTCCCGGATGGCTCTTGAACAATGTAGCTGGGCTCCCTTTCGTCAAACCTCTTCACTGCAAAGAAGCCATGAACCCTCAGGTGGCCAACTCTAATCATCTTGTGCTTTGTACAAATCAGTCAACTGAGTCATCATCTTCAACTCCTTGCCGGTCGTGTGTGCATGTTTCCGGAATAAAGAACCATCGGATGTTCCATTGGTTGGGTCTAGTATGGTCTAGTCAACTTGATGACGGCCATGGTTTTCTCGTGTCTTCTAGGAGCTTTGATCAAACGTGATGATTGTTCAGCTATCAAATAGCTCTTGGTATGCTGCATTTTTTGGAAATCCCATCTCCAACCATTCTCGGATTGTGAAAAGAGGACTTGCTTAAACTCAGTCCTCCTCTGCGATGCCGTAGCATTGAGCTGCCTCCTGGTGAGGTTTCAGCGAGGAGGAGGGATGAGACCTTGAGGAGACCTTTAATCGAATCCATAAACATTCAAAGCCACAACAATCGTTTGATTGATTAAATTTCTTTGATTTGCACACACAAAGGCTCTTGATATTCTTGATCCTGTAGGGTCATAAGTGGATGCCAAACAATTCAGAAGGTTGGATCTCCTTTGACACATTCAAACAGACTTTCTAAAAGTCTGTTGACCCACAGTTGCTTCATGTAGAATCATACTAAACACCCGTTCATACAAGTTGATAATTACGCTATTTTCTTCAGTGCACTCCTTGAGTCCATGCTTTCACAAGCACAGCATGCTCACCTGAACCACCCAACAAGCGCCTCCCCGGCTGCCTTCTTCGCCACAGAAACCCGGGGGACCAAACAAACGCCCTGATCCGTCTCACGAAACTCGCTTTGCCTTCATCCGTTGCTCCAACAACTCCACTTGCACTTCGTCCCGCACGTAGAGGCCTTCGCTGTTCGCTGGCCGTGTTCGGGACTCGTCTGTGGCACCAATGGAAAAAGAGACACAGTTTGGACACATCGATTCTTGATCTATTTCTTCGTGGACAGAAGGAACTAATGGAAAAGGACAAAAAAAACAATAGAAAGAAAGGAACACATAAAAGATCATAAACATGCCATAACTTGTCTGATCTATTAATTAATCTTTCTATGTCTTTCTTGAAGTCTTCCATGTTCTATCATGTTCTATTCCTTGGATAATTGTTGGTCTGGGTGAAAATGGCTTGTACATGGTAGGCTTACCCCTGCAAAAAACACAAAACACCTGCTTTCTGAACAACAATGCCAGCGACTCAGCCTTCCCTCTAAATTAGCAAAAGCCAACCTAAAAGTGGAACATTGTCTGTTGTCTAACTCCTGGAAGAGTGTTTTCCTACCAGGCCACAGAAAAAACAAGAAACTGTCCATGTCCACATGCCTCGTTAGCCCGATCACGCCCGATCACCGCCGATCACGTCCGAGCCCCAGAGAGGTCCGCTTCGCTCAGTCCGATGCGCTCGACCTTCCCCACCTCGTTGGGCATCTGAGAGGTAGAGCCCCCGCAGCAAGACAGCCTCGGTGAAGCGACGCGACTCGACGGCGACGCGACGCGACCGACGTTTTTGTGTGGTGCTTTTGGCGCAGTGTTCTTCTGGCTGAGCACTGCCTGGTGTGACGCCTGGTTGAGGCGCTGTGACTGCTGGTCAAATAAGCTTACAGCCTGCTCTAATTACCTGGCCGGCCCACGTCCTTTTTTGGACGAAGAAAACGATTACAACCCATCCATCCACAGGATCTTGGACGAGCAAACCCATGTCACCGTGTCAAATGGAATCTCTTGAGCCACAAACTTCAGATTCCAACCACAGACTGCAGTATACTTCTCCACGGAGTCAAGACTTCAGATTCGATGTCCTTCGTTTCCGTCACCACCAACCCCCTGTTCACCCACCCAGTGGCCGCCAGGAGGTCGTAGAGCGCGCGCTCGGTGATGGAGGGCAAAGCCTCACAACGTCGGACAGCTGAGCTTGGCACCACTTCGACTTGACCCGTTTCGCCCCACCCGCCCGGAGTTGACCGCGTTTCGCCTTCCGTTTCGCACGGCCGAAGCGAAACGACGGAGACCGACCCCTCTGACTTCTTCCGGATCGCCTCTGACGGAGACCGTGGCACCAGAACCGACCGGGCACGACCGGGACCGACTGGAGTGTCGGTCGAACTGGCTATAGTTGACGGGTCGGAAGAAAGACATGCTAGGGTCTTTCCCTCCCCACATCCTCCCCGTCGCCCACACTTCCCCCGCGCGAACTTCTCCGCAGATCGCCTGGTGAACGCCCAAACTGGAGACCTGGGCAGCAGAGTAGGAAGCGCGGAGAGCGGAGCTTAGGGCTTAGGAAGGGTGGGGAGCGGAATAGGATGGACCAATATAGGTAGGAAAAGATCAAAAAGAAGAACATACTTCAACACACCAGACCGGATGATCTGGCGGGGTTGTTAGAGCTTATCGCCCTCACAGCTGCAATAATGATTGAAGGATATTGAAGGGGAGGGCTCCAGTCTCACTTCTTGGACCAAATGCATGTGAGTATCATTGAGAGTATAAAACGCGCTCACTGTTCATTGCCAGCTGGTGATGGTGCCCGGAACTCGTTTGACTCGGAACTCGGAAGAAATCATGGCAGCCCGGCCTAGCATACGCCCCGTTGGTCCATGTGAGACATCCATGGCGAAAATCCTTGTGGCTTATTCGTCACACGCTGCCCCCTAAGAGCGGCCTCCGAGGGGTCAAAGCATCTGCCCGTCATGAACTTGTCGGAAACTGGGTCTTTTCTCGGCTGCGGCTTTCCATAACATCCTTCAACTCCACATAACATCACGCAACAAATTAAGCCGGTGCAAGGAGTGCATCTTTTCCATTCTAGGTGAACACATGGTGAAAAGTGCCGCCTTTGGCGACCCCTGCGACTTTCATATGCGCAAGTCCTGCAAACATCATGGCATGCTCAACCTGGAGCTGTTGGAGTTCATCAGCGGACGCCGTTTTCAATAGGAATCCATAGGTCTCCATCATCTTCAGGTGCTTGTCATTCTTGCTCTGGAGTGCAGCTTCCAGCCCATTCTCTGCATCTGCCCTCAAAACAGAAACAACATGGAAAAGCCGGAACCCAGGCACTCCATGTATGGAATATATGCCTACATTGGGGTGGTTTTGGGGGGTTAATGTAGGCATATATGGCATGCATGGAGTGTCTGGGGAAGAATGTGATCGAACTTCCTTCGCCGAATCAAACGTCGGTGGATCGCCGCACTGCTGCGCTTCCTTCTCGGCATCACACGTTGATCACTGTCAGCATTGTACCATATTGTACCACACCACGTGCTTTTCCGCTTCATTGTTTCACGAACGTCCAGTGTGAGTTGAAGGTCTTGCTGGCGAGCTTTGCTTGTGAGACCCGTTCTCAATGCCGGACTAAGGCTACTCCGCACAAACAGAGCTTATAGGGACAGAACATGTGATCAGTGCAGCTTGCTGCATCAACCAAGTTGGGTGGAATCAATCAAGACCGTTTCAGTTTCTCGCTCGTGCACTTCTTCAACATTGGGCCCACCAGAGTCAAATCCTTGTTCTTCCATCAGATGCATATTGCACTCGGGAATACGCCCAAAGCTTCCAAGCATATATATATATATATAATCCAAAGAACAAGTCTAGATTGTACAGGACACAGTGATGTAGCCAGTGGACCCACTGCGAGCTTCTAAGATTGATTGGTATCGGAAGCTCTTTTGAAGGCTGTTGGCTGCTCCCAGTTTAAGCAAAAACACATGACA